TAAAAGCATTGCTCGAACACCAAAGAATCGCCCAACACACCAACAGCGGTGGGTCAGAACCCTAGTTCGGCTATCCCAGTTCGGTACCCCAGCTAACGGGTCCTATTTACGGTCACTGGCTACCTCTGTTGGTTCGCCCTACTCTCGCCCTGTTCTACTCCCACCCGACTCTTCACAGGAGTTTGACTGACCGCGCCTCCACCTTCCGTCGCTTGCACATGGATGGTGGACCGTCAGAGGTCTTTTTGCGCGCCAGGCGTTCCAGGTGTGCTGGGAAGCTGGCGGTGGGCCCTAGGCAGGCAAATCATTGGCAACTGGGTAGGTAGCAGGAAAACTAGCCACACAGTGAGGTCCTGGGCATAAAATGATTGTTCAGGAGATGGCCGAGGGATTTCACAGCAGCTTTGGCAGGTACAGCCAGAAACCTTGGAAACATCGTGGTCATGGGTCTGTGGAATTCGATTAATCCATCATGGTATCAAAAACAAGCTGGTCTAGTAGCAAAGTTATCGTGTGACAAACGAGACCACCACAAGGCTTCACTCCTTTCAATTGAAGGATGACCGCACCCAGCCAAATGGTTTCAATTCATTTACAATGCTATTTGAAACAGTTTGGTTGTTCAGTTCACGATCCTCAACTCCGGTGAAACTGACCAGAAAAAACACAGAAACATATATTATGATGAAACGACGAACTCAAGCTTCACCGGCTCAAGCTTCACCGACTCTCTCCCGACCAGCTTGCTGTAAGTCCATCACTCCACATGAACCGCTGGAACCGCAGCGAATCGCTGAGTCCCCCGAGCCCAGGATGATCAACACTGGCCCTCCACTGCCAAACTGCGTGGGTCGTGTCCGCGGGTCGTGCACGGAGACCCGCGGACGGTGCGGAGGCTCCATCCGAGGCTGAAACAGCCACCTCCTAGTAATCACTTGGATTTGGGGTCATATAGAAAGTGACAGGAGTTCTGGTGGTGCAACTCGTGATTGTCCTGGTATAGATTCATTTTCTTCTACACTCATCGAATGTGAGTATGTGAAGTGGCGTAACTTGCAGTGACCAAAAATGATACAACCCGCGAACACATCGCTAAACACATCGCGAACCATCGCAGTGGCTCTTCTTCTTCTTCTTTTTCTTCTTCTTAATATTAGAGCGATGGCTCGAGAGCATGGGCATCGAATCTCAGAGAAGTGGTGTCTGCGGGGGCCTTTGATTTTAGGCCGATCGGTATCTAAAGGCGGTGGAACGACCTTTTTCATCCTTTTTTGCATCCCAACAGTTGTTTCGACTGAATCTTGGAGCATCACTCGCACATAAACCCTCCCCCCTGAGACGAATTCCTTAGTTCAGGCTTATATTTGGCGCTTTGAGCCAAACTGAGTTTCCTTAATGTATGGCTAATTTGGGATGCTGGGCATCCCAATGTCTCTTGGGCTAGCTCATTCGAATGGTGGATACATTAAACCATGCAGTCATACACCAAAAGTATTGGACAGTATACAGTGATTTACCTGTGCTTCGTCCATCAACCACGCTCAAGAGCGCGACGTGTTGGATTTTTATTGGATTTGTGCACGTTTGTTGTCTTTGTGCCATCAAGCGGTGAATTTGCTCGAGGAACGCTCCATAAGGAGATTTCACTTGTTGTGTCTATCAACAACACTGATGAATGCAAAACAATGGGTGGTGTATGATTCACTGTTTAACTTGAGACCTTACCTGTACTTGACATATCAAGAGCCGCTGTCGATATAACCAATATCAAGACTGGATGGTTGATGGTGCTTGTAGTCCTCGCCATAACACCGAACGCTTTCCGCCTGTCGAAGCACTTGCTGGGACAGCCGGAACCAGCCGGAACAGCCGGAACCCGAGAAGGCCGGAACCCGCACGGTCCACGGTCTCCCCCAACGACTTCGGCTCCCCTCCTGTTGCTTTTCCACTTCTTCAGACCTCGAGTCCGGTGTGACACGACGACCCACCGGACGCCGGTCCGGTGTTTGTCCACCGGGACGACGGGTGGAACCGCCACCGGTCCCATGGGGTTTTTGGTCAAAAGGACGATGGCCACCGGTCTTGCCTCTGTCAAGGACAGTTTTTTCAGGCAGCACATGAGAACAGGGACGAAACCCACATCCACCATGTATCTACTTGGGTGACTGTTTGGACATCTTTGGACGAGCCAGCTGGACTGAGCCATGATGAAGAGAGCCATGTCGCCGCTTGGATGGGAAAAATCGATTCTGGCTGGGAGAGCCTCCAAAAACACGAGCGTCGAAGAAGTTTGCTAGTTGGCTTCGCTAGCACCTTGAGGCTTCCCTTCAGGCTGTCAGGTCATGATGGGGAGCTGTTGTGAGTGGGAACATTGAAGTTGCATCTGCTAGATTCTAGATTGACATACATGGTTAGGTGTAAGCCTTTTTGCACTCCAATGAAGTACATGAATCATGACACCAACATGAATCATACATCTTATGGTACCCTTTGGCAACAGGAAAACAATGGAGAACCGTCTTGAGTGTTCAGGTGGTGCATGTTCATCTCCACATTGGTTTTGGGAAGGTAATCAGGCAGGATGCGAAGGTGACAAGCTCCAAAAGATTCAGAAGGTTCAGTTTCTCACCCTCCCCCAAACATGATGCACTCTCTAATTAAGGGTTCCCCAAGTTCTTGACATTCCCAGAACATGGATTGAAGGATCGTGAGACGCAAATGGCTTTGGCGACTGGATGTGCGATGGAAAAGACGTTGACCATCAATCACAACAAAAGTTATCTCCATGGCGGGTCCCTGAAACATCCATGTTGCGTTGCCCAGCAAGTGCCTATGAGGATGCACTTGAAACATCGCAGGGACTGTTGGACCCCTCTTCTGACTAACATCCACCATACACTGGGAAATATCCTTCACCCCTTCACATGGATCCCCAAATCCACCGAGCCACACGAACTTCATCGAACTTCTATCCGATCAAAAGCTGGCATGTTCAAAGCGGAACGGACGGCGACTCCACCGCCGAACAAACGACTCCACCATCGACCACTCCCCCCGAGATGGTCTGCCGGGTCGCATGGTGCCCAGGGTCGCATGGAGCGATTGCTCTCTCGATGACGTGGCCGACCTGGGATTCGCCGAAGGGCTCAAGACGGGGCATCTGGACCGACCGAACGGAAGCCGAAGCGACGGGGACATCGAACCGCACTATCAGGATCGACCCGGAGACATCCATGCCCCCGTTTAAGAGCCTTTAAGACCTTGACTCACACGCGGTCAGGATAATTTGTGGTAATTAGACAAGTGCCTTTTTGCGGCATTCGATGGCACCATGATGGCGAAAGGTGGGTTCTGTAGACCTCATCTAAAGGTGGCCCAATCAAAAGGATTGGGGAAACTCTCTACCACCAGCTGCTTCCAATGGGTCAATGGACAATCCTACACTACTTATAGGTCTCCAGACAGGGCACCCAGACAGGAAGTGCTAGGTATCCTTGGACAAATATCGGACCTTTCAGGTCTCGTCTCTGGCATCATGTCTTGAAGGTCTACAGATCCGATGCTGACAAGGATAGCAGGTACCACCCCCTTGGTCTATCTTACTAAACACTCAGTCGATGATCTGGATGTTCAGATTGAGGAAACGGCATATCAGGAGATTCAACAGGAATGGATAGGTCAAGCAAGCGAGAGAAAATGAAAGAACTGCAGGAAAAGCAACGATGCAGTAGACATAACACAATCACTTTTTGGTGTATTGGCAAGGGCAAAAGGTCAAGCCAGCAGGTGCTTTTTAGGTGGATATTCAAATCCAAGATCCCAAAGAAGATCTTGAGTAAGGATGGGTGTTTCATGTGAGACCATCCCTTTCTCTGCAAGATCACCACGAGCATTCCGGTCATCACTGCATGGTGTCCCTAAGCTAGTCCACTTGACTATGCCGGTCCCAGATCTCCGCCCAGGCCCCAAACACCCAGGCCGCTCCGACCGGCCGCACCCAACCCCGATGGGACTCCGACTGCCATTGCCGTGACCGGGGCTCCACCAGGCTTCCGGGCTCTACCAGCATCATAGGAGTCTCAGGAGGAGCTCCATGCTCCCTGGAGCCGGGAAAGGTGTGTGAGGACCCGTTAGGTGGTCGTGAGGACCGGTGTGAGGTGGTCGTGACCACCCTTTTGAGCACTTCTCAGCGAGGCGTGACTGGAAGAGAAAAGCATCAAAAGCCACGACATCTGTGAATGGGATACCAAGAGAAGAGCTGCGGAAAGTGCGGGAGAATGACTGAGATAAACAAGCAAGCCTTGAACTTCATCCAATATAGATAAAGGATACACGCGTGTATGTGAAAGAATCATCCTGTCAGGAAAAGAACACATGTTGGATCAAGTAGATTTGCTTTCTTCCAGGAACTGCTTGCCAGCTGCTTGCTCTGGACGTCCCTCTTTTTGCGACCACACCGAACTTTACGTGGCCACATGGTTCTCGGGTGAAACAAACACCGACTGCATCCGACTGCCAACGGGGTGGCGGATCTGGCGCGATGTGAGGCTCGGCATGGTTGGTTCTACCAGCACCCAGCGCTCCAGTAGAGCTCAGTATACTCAAAGAACAGCAACGTAGGCGTCAATGATTGGTGCTCCCTTGCGTGGTGTCGGTGTCGGTGCTTTCGTCCGGACAGGTCACATGGCTGAGAACCCGTAGGCCCCACAGGTGGACGCTCCAAAACACACACTGAGCCGAAGATGACACATAGAAACATCGTCAACCCCGTGGACCGCCGTTGGCAAAGTTAGGGAGCGTCATCCCAAGAGTTGCTGTATACTATAGTTTTGAATGACATGCATGGAAACTCACCAAACACCTGCCCAATTAAGTCATTGCTGTTTGATTCTTTGGTTCACCACACTGCTTCACCAAAAGCCACTGCTCTGCTCCTCCGATCCGCTTGCTCGATCCGCCGAACCGTGCCCCGAGCTCGGCCGAGATGCGCGGCTTTCCGATCAGAGCTCTTCGCGCGGCTTCTCCGCTGCTGAAAGCGCCTTTCTCGGCTCGGGCGACCACCAGGGCCGCTGCTTGCATCCTCGAGGTGCCGAGAGAAAAGCCAAAACCACATGAGGTGCGTAAGACATGTGTAATAAGAGGTGTTCGGCATGAGCTAAGACAGCTAAGACCCAAACATGTGTTTAAACATGTCAACCAACAGATCCCTTTCAACCCAAAGTGAGCCTGTTGAGGCTTTGTTTGATAGGACATTCAAACACAGGCATCTGGTGAATCTAATATCAATCTTCTCATGTCCAGGTGTTCGCCCTCACCTGCTACTCTTCATACTCGGACCCAACCCGCAATCCTCTTAGACAGCCACCCACCCACCCACCCACCCACCCACCCGACTGGCGCTCCTTCCACGATGATGTCATTGAGAAAGGAGGTCGAAAGCTTCAGCACTGGATCCTTGCGTGTTGATCCCGATCCACTGGTCAAAGGCTTCTTTCCTGCTTTTTTGGATTTTTGGACTGATGATGGACCCCCCTCGCCATCAAACCATCCCTTTAGATTCACGACCGGTCTGCCTTTAAACTTCCCATCGCTAACCTGTAGAAGCCAAAATTCGGTCAGCTTCCGGGTTGCTTCAAACTCAAGGGATTCCCTCAGAAGGCTCGGAGGCTCAGAAGGATGCCATCCCCAGCCATCCACGGGTCATGGCTGAAAGGGTTTCACTGGCGCACGGGCGGAGACCGGGACCGAGCTACCAGCTATATGCGGCCTCTGGAAGGTCAAGCTAGATGGTGGACCACGGCTCCGAGTTTGGACCCATCCACCAAGCTCACCAGAGACCGTTGGTTGTGCATGGATCCCATGAGAGACCGCGGCAGTCAGGAAAATGCATCACCCATCATCACCCTGCCTCTGTAAAGAGATCTAAAACCGCTTTGACTTCGTCATTGCAAAGTACCTGAGCCGACACTTTGCTCGGCTAAAAGAAAAAACGGGAACACATGCCCAAGGACTTGGGATGATTTTTGGGTGGGTGAGTGCTTCACAACGGTAAAGGCCCCCCTATAATCACCCAGGAATCGATCAGCCTGGCAGGCCTGGCCATGCGACCTGCCATGGCATTAGTTCAGAGAGATCCGAGTCGATCCTCCAAAGGGACGATCGACTCGCTTCGATCAAAGGCGGAGTCAATGGTTTTTCTGGGTGACAAACGTCAGACTATAATCACACAGTCGACGGTTTGAATCATCCAAGAAATCAATCACTTTCCTGGAACCCGCACGACCAAGGTGAGCAGACTGGTGAGCAGGTTTCGAGCCAGTTCCTGGGCCACCGCTTTCTTTGGGGGTCCACATCTGGTCGAAACCTGCCATGTTCGTTCCATCAGGATGAGTCCTCTTCGTTCAACTGGGTCATACTTCTCGCTTTGGAGACTCCAGCTATCCAGCTACTGCACAACACGGCCGTGCGTCTTCCACAAGGTACCCTAAGGCGAAGCCTCCGTTTACCTCCCATCTGCTGGTCTCACTTGTGCGCCAAGTGGCTAGGCGGAGCGCAGGGGGGAGCTCCTTGACCCAACCGGGTGAGCTCAAGGTTAACCTGAAGGCAGAAGAATCACAACTTGCGGAGCAGCTCACTGCACCTCTTTTTATTGCAGTGTTGTTTGGCCATTGCCCCTTTTGCATGTTTCCTGGACAATCCTTCAAGAGGTGTCCAATGGAGGTCCCTAAGTATTGTAGGGGCTTCCATTGGTGACCCCTTTGAAGGTGCCTTATCGTTGTTTTGGGGGGATTCCATCCTCTCTGCACGTGGTTTTGAACTTCAAGGTCACACACGCAAAGACCAGCTCAGTCCACTTCACTTCTCAACAGTTCTCCTGCTTAGAAAATGACATGCCCTCTTCCAGTGCTTCAGTTTTTCGTCTCATGTGTGGTGTGAAAGTGCTTTCCGTGCTTCGTGCTTCTGCTGATTGTGTCTCTGGTTTCTCCATTGCCAACACCAGTCGAAGAAGACTGAAACCTTTGGTCTGCCCAGCGTTTTTTTGCCTGGTTTTGGAACTGCACGAAAACATGACACATCAGAGTGAGTGTCATGCCTGAAGGTTGATGAAGTGTTCATGAGAAAGCTCTCCGAAGAGACACAGGCACTTCTCTGTGTTAACATGAAGGTTGAAGTTGTGATTCATAGTATATTGAGGGTAATCACACTGTCCAAAGCAAATCCAACCATTGTAAGTCAAAGCAATGCAATGGCGCGTCCTTAACAAACCGACCAAATCGATGGTTCGAGGGTCTCAACAACAATTTGACAAAAGTGAACCTGAACCGATGTAAACCACAAAAAAAACTAGTCTGATAATGTTAGCTTTTTGGGGCTGATCAAGTCTGCTAGTTGATCTTGCCCTTCAAGTGCAACAGGAACCGGGTACCATCGCATGGAGCCTTGAATGCGTAAGGTTGTTTACACAGTCAAATGCATTGTTGAAAACCTCAAAACAATGGCAGTGTTCCGAAGTCATGCCTTCAAAGTATCCCAATTGTGCCCATCTGGAAGACTCGAGTGTCACAAGTGACCAAACAAATGTTTAGAAGACAACTTACATCTAAATACATGTTCTGACATCTTCTTTCTTGTGTCTTGAGCTTGGGATCTCCATGAAGAACACTCACCTTCCAAAACCCAAAACCAAAAAACGATGACCCAAGGACTCCACCCAACACGCGCCAGGGAACGCCACTTGGAGGGTCACCCAGTAGAGATTCCACAGGGAAAAGACCACGAAAAGGCCTGAGAAAGCAGCATGGATCGGCGCTGTCAATGTGACGCCACAACGCTGCAGCCACTATCGGAGCTCGCTCCTCTCCGATAGTCGCGAATCTTCAGCGCAAGTCTTCTGCAGTTCATCAACTCGCAGCCCAAAGAGGGTTCCATTTGATCTGTGTGGTCGGACGGGACTTGCAACCGGATGATCCACCTTACCCTTCCTTCCCTTCCTCCGTTTGGTGGACTGTTTGGGGTTTTGGGGAGACGATGGGGGCCAAACAGGGGGTCGTCCACTTCCGTTGGAGGGAGGGTACGGCTCATGTTGCTCGTCTGCCCTCCCGACCGAAAGACACGAGTCCCATGGGACAAAACTGGCACCATCTTCATGCTTCTTCCACCAAGGACGCTACGTTCGGGGCTCCTGGCCTTACTACTAGGAGCAAGGACGCTACTACTCAATGAATCTCCCCACCACTTGTCGCCACGAAGGCCACCGAGTCCCAACACTCCCACTGCTGACTGCTGAAACGGGGCCCAAGGTGCCGCAAAACACCTTAAACCATTGGCACTTGGGCCTTGAAACGCTCTTCGTCAACTTCACTCTCTTCAAGACCACCTGCGGCTGCTCCGCGCGGTCTTAGGAACGGTCGTAGTGAAACCACCCAGTGATCGGGCGCTTGTGGTCGTGCAAAAAAAGTTCCGTATCTGCTTCGGGGTCAGATGGGGATGCAACACACATATGCAAACATGACATCCACTTCCAGAATACACCTCTTAGACTACACTAGCTGTGAATTTGTTGAGTAGTGAAGAGTTCGACCGCACCATGGAGTTAAACTGATGAGAGAGATGCTGTCCGCAGTTCTGGACATCCTCTTCCGACATCGGAACACCTTCAGTCGTTCCGTCAGTCTCGGCGGAACACCTCAAGGCACTCCTTGCACTTGGCCTCTGCATAGCCTTAGCTTGACCCAATCAAAAAAGCATCGAACTGATGTTTCCCACCTGGCTCTTTGTAAAGGTCATGACATGTTTTGACTCTTCCGTTTTGTGCCAACTCCAGTTGAATTTGAACCCTATTTGGTGGTTTTGGCACTTCATGGCCTCTAAAGACCACATTCGTCAGAAAAACATCTTTCCTTGACCTTCCCCATGCCGCTGTGGCATGCGGCTCAATATGCCGCTGTGGCATTCTGCCAAGGCTCTTTCTTCCACCTCCACACGCCGCTGACACATGGGGCAGCTGGGCCACTTTCCGCGCGCCACCTGGCGCTTCGCCCACTCCGCCCAGCAGCTACCTGGTGGTGAAGGAGGTCTTATAGCGGTGGCACGTCGGGCCAGAACTCGCTGTTTGTGATATGTCAGATATGTTGAGCTACAGTGGTTTCATTCACGCGCGGCCGCCACCATGATCTCCTGAAAAGATGGCGGTCCACTAAACGGCTGACATTGAAGTCTGCAGCCATCTAATCTCAATTAATCCACTATCATTCATTTTTGGCCGGCCGTTGGACCATACAGACCGCAGAATCAAAGTTGTGGTACAATCAAGTACCATGCAGTACACGAAAAAAATAAAAAACAATTGAAGGGAACATGAAAGGTCACAGTCGCAAGTGCCACCCGCTTATCTAACAATGAGGAGAAATTCGACAGCAAGGAAAAGAAAAGTAGCACCACAACCATCCCAATTGCAGAGTAGGATGGCACTATGTATTAGTTTTGTATTTTAACATGGAGGTGGCTTCCAAAAGTCCTCCAAAGTCCTCTATCAATCTTGTTGTTCACCCCGGAAAACATCGGTCAACAATACCGCTCCCCCAAACAATCGCCCCAAAGAGACCTCCACCGATTTGTCAGCCCGCGCACCTGACGTCATCCATACCATGTGCGCACCAACGTGCTCAGCCCGAGCCCGCTTTGGTACCTGTCTCTTCTCCGTCGCCCGCGGCGCGGTTCGTCGAAACTGCGCCGTTCGACTGCGCCGTTCTGAACGAGGCACCACAGGCCGTGTGCGAGGCCAAGATCTCGCTGTAGGGCACTGCCCGGGGGCGCCAGGCGGTCTCCTCCTGGGCGGGAAAAGCGACCGGGCAGCGTCGCGGTCGCGGTCCGCAGCAACCGTTGCGGGATGTTGCGATGGCCCAACGGGGGGAGTGTAGATGGAAGAAGAGAAGTTTCCAGAAGCTCCCCAAAAGGGGAAGTAGGTGTTCAAAGGACCACACGAAGAGACCTCAAACCTGCTGAAACTCCTTGCCCTTTGGCATGGGTTGGTGTCCCACTTTCAGGTTGAAAGCAAGATATCAAAGACCAAAAGCTCCAAGGAGAAGAGATCCAAATAGACTGTCTCAGTCGACCCAGCGTCCAGATGCAGCGCCACATATTGCCAGCCATCTGAGGCCATGCAAATGATGCAGCGATGCTCTTCGCGCGCCATGTGGCGCGCGCAGGGCGCCTCCATCATGCCATCTGCCCTGTCTCGGACGGGCACCCTTGCTGCGGCAGTGCAGAGCTGCGCTGTCCGCTTGATTCGTGCTGGCTGTGTGGGTAGGTCTGGGTGGCTGGTTGGCTGAAGGCAACAGGTGCGTTGAGCCAGTGAGATCTGCTGTCTTGAATCAAGCAAGTTGGGGAGGTTTGTTGGCCGGATCGGCACGAAGGCGGAGGAGTTAGGTGCGGAGCCACGTTTTTTGGGCCGCGTGCGTTGCAGGTTTTTCCAGTTGTGTAAGGGCCCGTTTTCTGCAGGAAAAGGGAGGAACGAACAGGCAAAGATCATGAACCATCCAAAAGACATCAGCAGTTGCGTAGACGCAAGATATGGATCACTTTTATAGTTCCAACCCTGCGCAACATATATATATATATACCCTACGCAACCAAACCCTATAAATTTGTAGGGTCTCAATCGGAACCTCGGGTATTCTTGTGAAATCAACAATACCTCAGGTTTGTTCTTAAAACCTTGGGTCTTGTTTTTCTAAACCGTGCTAAACGCATATTTAACCCGTACTAAACCCATATTTAACCCGTACATACCCGTACTAAAACCGTATTGTACTACTGGTTTGAAAAACCTGGGGTTTCCTTCAGAAACCCTAGGTTTTTCCATCGACCCTACAAATTTATAGGGTTTGGTTGCGTAGGGTATATATATATAAGATCATTCATATATAAGCAAGGTAGATAGAAATTTTGTAGCTACCTGCATCGGTCTGCTAGGGAATACTCTCGACTCTCGATGAGGTCTGCCTCGAAACCAGGCACAACTGCTTGGATATCTCACAGTACTCCTGAAGGCATCATGCTGCCTCTTAGACGCTTGAGCTAAACTGCTTCCAGTGTGCGCGGTTTAAAGCTCAAGCCTGTCCTGACAGTGCAATGAGAAAACATTGATCATTGATCACTCTTCAATTGTTTCTTGAATCAATCGGGCCACTCGCTGCTGAGATCTCTGTGGCCAGGTGCTACTGTTTTCAGATGTCTTAGAACCTCGTTCATACTACCAGATACTGCCGGTAATGGTCCAGCACCTCAAGGTGGTCGAAATCTGGTCCAGTAGCTTCAAGCCCATGTAGAAGACCTGTGCACAGTAGCTGCAGTAGCTTGACATGCGGCAGTTTCGTTTTGCTTTGTTGAAGAGGGGCAGAAAAAATGAGCCGATGAGGATCAAGGACTCTAGCTTAGAAGTCCTGAGGTCCTGGGCATCACAACAGTTTCATTGATTTTGAGGTCAGCCTTGGAACGAACATGCAACGGCCACAACGAACATGCAACGGGACACCACGAATCGATGCGTGGCTGTGTCTGGGTCTGAAATCGGCGTCTTCCTTCCGAAGCCAGCAGAGTTTGCTTTTCAGCCGACTTCCACCGATGGAAGAGACGTGACGAAATCAACACTTCGGAAGGTCCACAGGAACATCTCACCACTCACCACTCAATATGAATAAACATAATACTGTATGATATAATGATATGGATAACAAACCTTGGGTTGTTTGGTTTATGAGAACACCTTGCCGGACCCCTTCTCAAATCAACCAGATAGTAGCTGGTTGGAGGAGGAATAGGTTGGTTCAAAATGATTGTCGATCTTCCAGCTTCTAACAAACTCAACACATCTGTGTAAACCAAGAACTGTTGCAACCCCAAAGGCCATCTAAAGCCGATCAAGAAACGAACAACCAACTCCCCACTTTGAAGATACTATATAATATTCACTGTATGTCCCCCTCATTACAATGCAAACTCTTGATTTCTTGATTAATACCAAACCAGATACGACTTGGAGTGCAAAACCTCTTTATAACTGTAATTCTATGTTTTCTTTTCTATATATTCATCAAGAGTCTAGCCCATGACAGAAAAAAACAAACATGTCAAGAGTCTACCTTACTTGACAAACTTTTCTAAACGTGCCTTGGGGTAGTGCTCACCGAAACGAAGACAACGCCGAAACAAACGCCGTGCTGAGCCCACACCGCCGTCTGCTTCATGGCCCGCTTCGCCATCTCAGACCAGTCCATGTCCTCGATCGAAAGCGGAGCGAGCGACTCACCGGTGACGGCAGAGACAGCGAGCGACTCGACTGACGCATCGGATGATATGAAAAAATCACATCCCCCCATGTGCAGGCCGGTTGAAGAGGTTTAAGAGGTTTAATCCATGATATCTTTTGTAATGTGTTTTTTTGTAATGAATCCTCAGAGTCTGTCTACATGTGTGGTGGAGTCCGTGGAGCAAGACGAGCGGAACCTCGTCCGTTGGACCAAGCTGTCTTTGGACGACCCGAAACAAGCTGAACAGCATACGGGGTCGGATGCACGCTTGTTGCGCTTGGATGTTCTGGTTAATTTACAGTCAGCCTGTGAATGCGGGGGAAAAACCATGAAAAACCAAACTCGACCACCCCGGTTGCACCCGACCCGAAAATCGACTGAAACGACCCGAAAGCACCCTCCCCTCCCCGACCCTTTGAGCTCTGTGAGCTCGATCTGAGCCGACTCTGGGGCGAACGACCAGACTTGCACGCACCAGATTTCATCGATGCGGCCGTTGGTTGGTCCGTGATTTGGGTGATTTGGGTTGGTCACCGAGAGGAACGGACGTGCAAGGGAGGTCCACCTCCTGCCACAGCTCCGGGTTTTGACCAACCATGACCCAATCTGCTAGGAATCTATGATTTTGCTCAGCTGCTTGCTCGGCTGCATGGTCCGTGGTACTTCTGCAAGAGCTTTGAGTTTGGACTGCAACGGATCTTTTCCAGAACAGTAACACCCCAAATCTGGTAGCTACACCTGCACTCTGACTCACTAATGTGGAGGTGGAACGTGGTCCCTCAGAAGACTGCTTAGGAAACTCGTCTAGTCCTTCAAGGAACCATGCCATCCAGTTCCATGTTCAGTCAGAGTCTGCCGCACACGTCTCTCTTTCACACCCTCCCAAACACAAGCATGGAAATCATGGGAAGTAGACAACTACAAGTACCCGTGAAAAAACAAAAAAACAATGAAACAAGATATCCTCTACAAACAGGAAGCGGTCCAATTCCGCTTCCATGTGAGGCTCCTCGGAGCGTAGGGTTATATGCATCGCTTCTTCGCTTCTTCTCTTCACCCCGAAGCCCGGCGGCCCGGCGGAGCGAGGTGGCGAGCCCAGGCGCCGGAAGGGTCTTAGCCTTGCTCTGCCCCACGCAGAGGTGCACGTGATTCGTGCTGAAGCCGCGATGGGTCAAGGGCACCTCGGTGCGTGCGTTGCGGTGCGGTGCACGGTGCACGGGGCGGTCCGCGAAGGCAGAGAGGCGGAAGAAATGCCATGAATGAGAGACGAACAAACATCTGTCCCAGCGTGAACAAAGAGTTTAGCGTTAGATGCGTTTAGCACAGGCATTTTTTTTCGTGAAAGCTATCACCATCATCAATACATTGGCCACCAGAAACCTCAAAATATCACTCACAGATCCTCTCTATCTGGGCCACAGGGCCACATCCCAAAGAACATCCCCTTCACCTGCCAAGTACCGCACTCTCACCCCACCACACCGGTCTTTCATCTCCAACACACCACACCGGTCGGCGCCTGGCAACTGGCCGCCGCGCCCAGGGCGCTGGTGATGCCCGGCACCACTTCGCACGGAACCTGCGCTGTGCCGGTCGGCCCCAACCGGTGCCGGTCGGCCACGGAGGCCGAGCCGGGCCACGGCGAACACAGGACTGACCAGCGCAGGGCGGCTCGCGTGACAGACTGACCCCCTTGGAACAGTCGATGGACAACATCCGTGGCTTCAAAGCTACAATGAAGCCACGGATGCACAGGGGAACTCGTGAGTCATCTGATCCCTGCCTGGTGCTGTGCCAGGAATTCGAGCTCCTGAGATGGTGAAAACCCAATTGGAGGAAATGCAAGCGGCCGATGCAGCCGATGCAGGATATGAAAAAAGCATAAAAAAGCGTCCCGATCCAGTGTTCATATATGCTTCTGTGAAATTGGAACATCGGCATCGCTCGACCCAAGACCAAGCTAGGAACCTGTACTCCAAATGGGGGTTACGTGTCCGCTGAAAAGGGAGTCCGTTCTTGCTTGGGGGCTTGCTGCGGTTTTTGGGATTCACAGTGGTAGCGGAGCCCGGCAACGTCCGGGTCTCCCCCCCTTTTTGGTTTGGGGTCGACTCCCTTTTTGGTGGGACACTTAGCCCCCGCTTGGAGTTGTGGCTTTTGGGATGGCCGGACAAACTCAGGCTGTCCCGCCATCGGATGGCGATCTGGATGAACCCGTAGGAGGATCGCCAGCCGCAGGTTCACCCGGCGCGCCCGATGGCATGGGGTCTGACCGCGAAGCCTTTCTTCGGTTCCAGAGGTTTCTCCGTCTGGAAAGGGAGCAAGAAGGGCGCGGTCTTCGCGGACGACGTCGTCAGCGAGACGACGAAGAAGAAGAAGATGGAGGTGGCGATGGCCGGGGGTCGGCTGGACCACCACCATCTTGGGACGGCGTGACGCCCTTTGAGGACTACTTCATAAAGGCAAAGCTATGGATCGCCACGACCAAGGCCAAGGGTCGATCTCGCGGCCCCCTACTGTTGAAGATGTTGAGCGGCGCTCCATTCGAGCACTACAAACACTGGGCAAAAGACCCAGAATGGATGGCTGACCCTCATGGCGCCGAGCGGCTCCTCAACGACATGGACACCCCAGAGAAGTATGGAGACGATCAACAAGAACACATGCTCACCGCCATGTCAAGGATCACCTACCACCTGAGGCGCCAACGGAACGAGACCTGGCGAGAGTACTTTGCGAAGTGGGATGGTGCCATTCGCAAGGTCCACCAACACAAGATCACCCTCCCGGAAGAGTATGAGGGCTTTCTGATGATCAATGGCCTTCAGCTCACCGAGACCGAGACCAAGGCAATGCTGAACTACACTCATGGATGCATCAAGCCGAGCTCCATCAAGAGCTGGCTGAGGAAGAACGAAACCCGACTGTCAGCTGCAGAGTTGGGAGCTGATAAAGAAGAACCAGGTCCACTCTCTCACGGAGTTCGAGGGACACCACATCGAGAATAATGACATCGAGGAGAACGACGAGGACAAGGAGGAGATCGATGAACTTGAGCAGTGCATCATGCACCTTCAGGACGACGCCGACGGTGACACAGTCCTTAGTGAAGGTGAGGCTGCCGAGATCCTCTCCACCTACGTGCAGCAGAAGAAGACCTACACCCAATCGATCAAAAATAAAAAGGCCAGAGAACTGGCCCGTGGCTACGGAAAGCGACCACCTCCAGGAGGATATGATCGAGGATCCGTCCGGGACAGACCACTTCGACCGGGCTCGTATTCGGTCACCATAGCTGAGCTTCAGAAAAGAACTCGCTGCCGCAACTGCGGCCAGATCGGACACTGGAAGCGGGACTGTAAGAATCCGCCTCAGAAGAACCCGGACTTGAAGACTAACGAGAGCCACTACTTGGAGAACACCGATGAGGCATTCTTCATTGGACACCTTGCCGAGGACGTGCTGGACTTCGAGTCTGACCCAACGATCCTGGAAGCCAACGCCATGAACCTGGCTACGAGGTCTCCTACCAGTACTGAGCGGCATGGAGAGACGACTCCCCTGAGCCCGGCCGGTAGGAACTGGCAGCCAAAGGTTGGCTCTGCCACGGATGCTGAACGCCCGTCCGCGTCGGCATATATGGAGAGTGACCTTTTCCGTCCGACCGGTGTTGAACACTTGTTTGTTTTTGAAAACATGTTTTGCAACCTCGTCTCCAAGTCTCCCCAACCTCAAGATATGGTGGACGCAACTTGTGCCACCGTCGATACGGGATGCCAACGACTTGCCATTGGTGCACGAACACTTCGAGAGTTCGCTCAACACCTTCCTGAACCCCTGAAGATCACCCTCACTCCCGAAACAAACAGGTTCAGGAGCGTGCATCAGACATCAGTCACGTCCAAGGTTGCTACAATCCCATGTTCTTTGGGTACCAAGGGAAGCTTCCTGAAGCCCGCTGTCTTCGAAAACGAGGAAAGCTCAGGTGCGCCCTTCCTCATCTCTCTCAGCTTCCTACTCCATTGTCATGGAGAAGTTATCCTTTGTCATGAACAAGGCCTCCAATTACGGCTTCGAGGAACTCCCGAACCAGTTCCCCTTCACCTTGGCCCAACTGGTGCTTTACGAATTCCACTCCAACAATACAACCAGATGCAAAAACAAGCACTCGAACGAGAACAAAACTTGATGAACCAGAGCACTTCGGTCGAGTTTGAGGTCTTGAAATTGCAGGATGGCTGCATGGAACCGCCGAAGCCGAGTACCACTCAAGCCACGAGCCCTTTTGCTACTCCGCACTCAGCTGCTTGCCATGCAAACCGCTGGTCAGAAACGTGTTCGGGCCAGTCCGACTCTCGAAGAAGAAGACCTTCAACAGCATCGAGTTCTTCAATCGTGGTTCCGCCTGATGAGACGATTTCTACTGGTTCTGATGCCCCTTCAGCAGATGCTGGAAAGGTTCATGGACCATATGCTCAGCACCAAGCCACACCGAGAGGCCCTGAAGGAGATGATTCGAGCCCTACCAGACGAAGATCTACCGATGATCCAGAATGTGGCCCGCCAGGAAATGAATCGGCGAGAAGATACTGGTCATCGACCTCAGGAACAAGGACACTGGTCCAACCTCAGCGAGACCAGCACCCATCCAGCTCGTCGACCACGACCTCCTCCAGATCCCGTCCTCACCGAAAGGTGTCGGCAGATCAACAGCCTACCAGGCATCGAGATGATCTTGGAACCACGTCCGAGGTGTCATTGCGCCCTTCAGTGCAAGATCCACCTCAGCGACTCGGGCCCGACGGGACACAACTACGAGAAGTTGTACTTTCGATGCCCCCTGGAACTGGGACATCAGTGCCGCTTCGTCCAGTGGTGCGAACAGCAGCCTCTTCTGAGTCTGGAAAGCTGGCGTCACCGGCAACAGCCCGGCGACGAACCTGTGAGCTACACACAGATCTTAGAGGCCATGATCCAAACCAAATGTCAACACAAGGAGACACATCGAAAGGGTTCGAATGCCTATCTCACCAAGGTCACCTGTCGCACGTGCAACAAGGTCATCAAGTCCGAGAAGATCGGGAAAACGGAAGAGGGAAACAAGTCCAAGGCCAGCACGACGTCCTCAAGCTCGGCCCCACCATCACGCCAGGGGATTCCCTCTCCAGCGACTCCCCAGACCACATCGGATGGAACCGACCTGGAGCACCTGACCGACTACCAGGAATTTCAAGAATACCTTCGTTGGAAAAACCAACGACAACCTCCGAGACGGGAGGAACAGTGAGACAGGTCACCCCGAAGCTAGAACGGAAGCTTCGGGCTGCCATTAAGAAGGCAACAGCTTTTTGGCGAGAGCTTCAATTGCTGCTGGCTGATACGCCCTTGCAGCACTGGGCTCAGGTCTTAAATGACGAAATTTGCCAGGAGTTCACTCTGAATCCAGCCGGCACAAAAAGATCTCGCGAGATCGCCGAAGTCATGGGGTTAACTGTTAAACAACTTAAGACCGTTGCCGAAGTGTACAATCCTGGTTGTTTCCAGAAAATCACTGGTCGTTTTCATTTGTCGCCCGGTCGCGCTTTTGATTTGAGTCTAGGAGACGATTTGTTAAACGAAGACAAACAAAACGAAGTCATGCAGTATGTCAAGGTCACTAAACCAGGACTTGTTTGCATTGCACCACCTTGCAAGATGTACACTCAGCTGCAAAACCTCTCCAAAGAGAAACGTGCTCGACTGCCGGACCTCATGAAACGATACTTGAAAAACAAGGCAGAAGGTGACAGGTTATTGATTTTTGCCATTCGGTTGTGCGAATTCTGCGACGAACTCGGGATCAAGTTCATATTTGAACATCCACACGCCGCTTCCTCCTGGAAACACTGTGCCATGGAGCGGCTGTTGGATCGACCGAACGTCATCTACACCAAGGCTGACCAATGCCAGTACGGACTGCAGGGTCAATCGGGCCTTCCCCAAAGAAAAAGAACCGGATTCGCCACGAACTCAGAAGCAATTGCTCAAGCTCTGAGCAAGCTTTGTCCTGGCAATCATGAACACGAAGTCACCATTGGTGGCAACCGGTCTCAACGATCACAGGTATACCCGGAGAAACTTCGATCGGCTATCTTGAAGGCCTACAGCCAGTCCATCAACGTGGACCATGTGGAAGTGGTCAGTTCCGAGAGCATGCTGGCCGAGAACCACCGGCTGAACTACCTCATGGACACCGAGTTCCGGGCCTTAAAGGACCTACAACGGGAAGTACCTGCTGGTCACACCGAATGTCAGGACCCCGATTCCCGAGCACTTGACGAACCAGATTCTCGCCTACCTGACCTACCGGACTATGTTACGGCCGAGATCTTGGCGAACGAAGAGAATCGAGGACCACATGACCGGGAGAACCAAGAGGACGATGGGGAACTACAACCAGAAGAGGAGCAGGAAGAGGGCGAGACCCCGGAGAACCCAGAACAACAGTTACCGCTACATTCCCGTTTTCCCATGGAACGTCTTCTTCACCGAGCACACGTCGGCTTAGGCCACCCGACCTCGGACAGGTTTGTTCGAATCCTTCGGTACGCGAAGGCCAAACCTGAGGTCATCGAAGCTGCCAAACATCTCCGGTGCAGTGTGTGCCAACGACACTCACAGGTAAAACCTGCTCGGAGAAGTGCACCGCCAAAGGAACTGGCCTTCAATGAGTGCGTCGGGGTGGACGTCATCTTCTTACCGACGCTTGGCAGCAGGTCACGCCCGGCCCTGAATGTCATTGACTGGTCAAGCAAATTCCAACTCATGATCCCCATGGACAACAAGAAACCAGGTCACGTCCGAGAAGCCTATAGACATTGGCTTCGTCTTTTCGGTCCTCCTAAAC